TGTTATTTCTGCAACAAAAGATTCATAAAAATAGAACAACCTGGACATGTGAACAGAGCAAATAAAAGAACTTAGGCAACTGTAAAGATGTGAATATATTAATGCTGCTTCACTGGCTGTATATATATGCAGAAATGGGCTATACTTTAATATGCTATTTTTGGAGATTACTCACAAAAAGGTGTTCGATTTATACAGTTGTTAAATTTGTAGTTCAATTCAGTAGTCCTATATTATGCACAACTGACTCTTGTGAGCTTTAAGACATGTTATAATGTTATAATGTTGGTGCCTCCTCAGAAACAGACCTGGAAATGTGAGTTTTATTTCATTCACACATGTTTGAGTAATGCTTTATTTCTGTCTACTTCTCCAAAGCTGAAAATGCTCTGTTCCACCTTCGTGTATTATCACCTGGCATCACAAGGTGGAACAGAGTGTTTTCTGTTGGAGAGAACTCTGCCTAAATATGCAGATTGTGTTTGTGATGACGAAACAACATTAGAACATAATATGAGCCCCTTAAACTCATCTGTCTTAAACTATTTCAATTACTTTTCATGTATTTTTGTATCTTATACAACTTGAAAGACATGCATTCTTAGTGTGGGCAGGGTTGGGTCATTGAAGATCTGACCTGTAACATGGTTTAATGCCATATAGTGGAACAATCAAGGCAAATAACATGTCAGTAACATCTCTATGGAGACAAGGCGACAGTAGCTCAGTTGGTAGAGTGTTTGTCCACTGATCCACTGAAAGTTGGTGGTTCGAATCTTGCTCTCGACATAAACATCATTGTTTGAGCGGTCAGATTCACTGATCCACAGGTGGGGGTGATTCCAGCTCCCACAGATGAATGCTGTCGTTCTGTCCTTGGGCAAGACACTTAACCCACCTCGCCCCCAGTCTGCGAACACTAGTGTATGAGTGTGTGTGTGGTTCCTACTTTTTGTTCTTTTTGTTGATTAGCGATTCGAACAGCCCCCAAAGTGAAGAGTTTTAAGTCTCGTCTTAAGACCCACTTTTATTCTCTGTCTTTTAACACCGCATGAGTTGTGTGGTCCTCTGTGTTTTTTGATTTATTTAATTTATTTTTAATGTATTTTTATTGGTTTTATTTATTTATTGCTATTCTACGATTTTGCTCTTATTCTATTTTACTGGGTTTATTTATTTTAAGACTAGTATGATAATTTTAATAGTTGATTTTATCATTTTATTATTGTTGTTATTATTACACAAATAAACAGCCTGTTTTTCTTCCATTGGCCTAGTGTAAAGTGACTGTAGTGTCTGTGTACAATTTACTGGACCTTCATCCTACTCCTTTTGAGCACCAGGTCCCAAATATGTTCATGTACATGTCCCTGTTTTTGTTATTGTATTTAAATTTTGTTGTACTTCGCTCAAACAAATAAAATGAATGAATTGATATGTAAATGAGCTGTGAATAGAGGTGTAAATGATCAGCTTTTACAGATATAATTAATTACAGCGGTGCACACGCATTTACCACTAAAGGCTGATAGTGGTAGTTTACTTACTTTATTTACAGGCTAGAACACAGGTGTCAAACATCCGGCCCTCCAAGACCTTTAATCTGGCCCTCGGCAGATTTTCAATTTTTTTTTTCTAATTTCTAATTATTTTTTTATTAAAATCTTGTTAATTTTCTGTGGTGCTTATCATAGCAGCATCTCCAGTGTCTCTGTACGTGGCCCCTCCCACCAGAGCAGCACAAATGAAGACTTGTCTCTTTCCAAACGCTCTTAAAGGACGATCGTTTTGACTGTTGACCGTGACACCCTCATCAACAAAATGTCCAACATGAGAAAAGTGGAGCCGAGTGCAGGATTTTCCAAGAAAAAGTTACTTATCCCTATTTATACAAGTTCATGTTAAACAAGGTTCATGTTAAAACATTGTGTTGAAATTGTATTTTTCTTAAAATTTCAGGTTGTTCATAATATAATATTTTGTAAAAGAAAGAGTTCATCAATTAAAAAAGATTTCTGTAACAGATTTGTGTTTCTCTGCACAAATATTTGATCTTATTGTTATTTTTGGGGTTTATATGACATGAGTTTTCTGATCCGGCTCCTTTGGGATCAAAGTTGGTTGGATACGGCCCCCGGACCAAAATGAGTTTGACACCCCTGGGCTAGACTGTCATGCAAAAATGCCATTAGGTCGACCTACTGTCTTTAAATATGACTATAAAGAGGCAGAATAACAATAAACCTAATTTAAAATCCAGTAGAGCCAAACCTAAGTTTTATAATCAATAAAAGATTAACAGTGAATTTTTACATCACTAAATATATCGGCTTTTATATCTGCACCTCCAACACCCATTTTATCGGCTGCAACAAAATCCATATCGGTCGGGCCCTAATGTGTATCTTTTCTGGTGGAGGGTCCTGTCACCTGCTAGTCTCATGGAGATGTTATTGTTTTGTCCAGAATGTGACTCAGTATGGCATTAAAGTCATTTTTATTGCATTTATTTAATTTTCAGTGTTTTTATTGCTCAGAAACACTCAGAAAAACATGCATTCATACAGTGAGTGGGCTCGCCTGTCCACAGACCTGACATGTAACTTGATCTGGTGGCGTCGTCTACTTTATGGAGATGGATAAGTTTAATGCCATATTATGAAGCCATTTTAATATACTTGAAAAAAAAACTCATTTGTATTATCAATTGAGGTGTCACTAAACGCTAAAAAAACCCCAAACACCTCATTCTAATTTTGCACCTCCCTGCACACAAAACCACACTGATGTATTTAAAACACTGAATATAGGCTGTACGCTTAGCCCGTCTAATAATATCCATCCCGCTTTTCCATTAGCGGTTTTAGCGAGCGCTCCTGGGCATTCTGATCAAGTGGAACGTGCACACGGCATTCGCAAACAGGCTAACATCTGTGTGGGAGACGCGTTCAAGTACCACCTCGACAAAGCGTGTTATTAACATCTGACACGGCGCAGACACTCCGCGCAAATGACTGTAATCAAACGCCACACAAAGTAGGTCCAAAACAATGACAAGAACAGCCCACAGCGATTAGAAAAGTTTGAGACGAATCCCTCAATGATCCGATGCGGCGCTCGGGATTATCTGTGCTTCTGCTCGGGGCCTTTAGCCTCCAGTGAGATCATAATGAGGGAGAGTGTAGGCAAGGATGTATTGTTTTAGAACGCTAGTATTCTGTTTGAAAGAAAGGGTTGTGAATATTGTTAAAGATATTGTATTTTGTGTGGTTTAAAGTACAATTTGGAAGTGTTGCGTGTAAAGACTCATTCTAAAGTGTTGTTGGGTTCTTGGGGAAGACACATGAATAAGGACAGACTTTTAAATGTGCCAGTTAGGGCTGGGTATCATTAAGAAGTTGCCGATACGATACATAAGCCAAGATACAATACGCCTTTTCAATACAGCGCACTTTCCATTCAATACGATTCAATATGATATATTACAAATCTATTCGATACAGTTCAATGTTATATTATGGCTGTGATAATAAAAGTCTTTATTAAACCACTAAGTTTGTGAAAAGTTAATATGAAAAATGCCCATTTTACTCGAAACAGTTAAAATGTCAAATTATCACAAAAACAAGTTTCCACAACTGTAGCTCTTTCACAAAATAATTTAGTAAAATATACCAAAAAATACTCTTGGCAATATATCAATACAGCAGCCCACAATATCAATACTGTATTATCGATACTGTATTAAGTTAAATGATACAACATATCGATATTTCAGTAGTTTTGCACACACCTAGTGGCAGTACAGTACAGAAAAGTGTTCAGAATAATGGTGCCAAACTTGGTTCAGATTGTTGATAATAAGACTTGTAAGTCCAACTGTTTCTAATGGTTTGAGATTGATGGAGCTGCCATTTAGGCAACAAAAAAAAGCACAATTTTCAAATCAGTCCTTTTTAAAAACTGTCAGACCTTCAAGTCTCTAAATGAAAACCTAGTCCACTTCAGAAGTCTTTCAGATTGTGTTTGCAGTGCTTCTGTGTCTAGAATCTTTCATATTGTGATTGCCCTGTGTTCAGTTTTGTCCTCTGTGTCTATGGACTTAGGTAACAGTGTGCAGTATTCAGATCCACAGACTAGAGCATGTGCAGAGTGTTACAGTTGCAATCCCAATTTAAACTGTTCTGCAAAAAGAGTTTTGTAGTTTTGATCGGAGAGTTATGCCTCATTCTGTTAAATGTTGATAGTCGATAAATCTAAGTCAGTTCTCCTGACATCTGTTGTAAATGCATTCCATTGCAGCAAGTTGAGGAAAATATAGATGCCTGAGAAATGTTTATTTTGTTTGCTTATGAATACCATAAGCAAGCCATATCAGCATACACAAACTACTCCAGGACTATGACTGAACAGAGACGGCACATGATGCAAGTATAAATTTGTTCATTCAAGAATCATGGAACCTAGACCAGTGTTTCCCAAACTTTTTTTTTGGGGACCCATATTTTAAAAGTCACAAACCTTCATGACCCAAGTCAATAGATACTATTTGTAAATCACAAAATAAATTTATGACCATTATTGAACATTAATATTTTTTATTGCCACCTGAGGGTCGCAACCCAGTCTTTGAGAAACAATGACCTAGACTGTCACTTAACTTCAAATATGTGTTGGTGTGACGGTAACTTTAGCAGAAGTGGCTATTCATACAATTGTAACATTATGTATAGGTTATGTGGATGACTGTGTGCGCTGCCATTTTTGCTGTGACGTAAATCCATCTGACTCGGTCTGCACCGAACCAGCCCGAGTTTGTATTTCAGAACCCAGATTTGACTGACGGTTTCATTGCACGTGGTTTTCCCAGAGCCCCGAGAACAATAGAATGCACCTTAAATACTTCAAAATGGTCACAAGGTGCCAGGAGTATTTGGTCCTTCAGTGACAAGTTAAATTGAAGATACAAATCGCTGAGTTAAGTCTGTGATGATCATTACCTGGTGTGAGTGACGATGTCGGTCAGAGCCCCTCCCTCCAGAAACTCCATGACGACCCAGAGCTCGTCTCCGACCAAGTAACTGTTGTACATGTCCACCACGTTCTCATGGTGATAGTCTCTCATGATCACCACCTGAACACAAACACACAACATTTACACTGCATTTTTAGGCTCACAGGATGAATTTTTTTTTAAAATATTAGAATAGATACCACCATTATGTACCCATTTTAAAAGATCAAAATGTATTTATTTTCAATTACTTTAAAGTCATATTTATCAGATGGAGCAGATAACATATTCCTTAAAGGTGCACTGTGTAACTTTTCTGAAGGATATATGTATTTTTGAGCTATAAAACCACCTGTAATTGAATAAATGTAAAGTAGAGCTGTTTAATGTTACACTGTGGAACATTCCAGGCAGAACAGTGACATCCATATAAACAAGCAACGGAGCCTCCGCCAGAAAAGTTACACACCTTTAAGGATACAAAAACCCACATTTATTAAAGCGTTGGAAACCTGTTTTGCCTTTGTTAATACAGCAGGTGAGACAGTCTCTGATATTGAGGATTTGCGTGTGACGTGGCAGTCGTGATTTAATGTTTTGGCGGCCATACTGGAGGTCAAGTTGATCCGGAAGGTGTTATTGAGTTGACAATATAATCATGGCTATTTTAAACAGCGCAAAAGACACAAAACTGTCCAAAATCACCAGCTCGTTAGATCAGCCGCCATTAGAAAGGTATAAAGCTGAAGTCATCCTCCTTGGTTGTGGAATAGAACCCCATCTAAATCTAACAGACCGCTTTGTTAGTTTAATCAAATCAAACCTCTAGTATCTGTTTTTTCATGTTAGATTTTCATAGGAAATACATGAACTTTTTGCTTTGTACACCCCACTGGCGATGGGGTGTACATGAATACTGTATTTTCCAGGCTATACGGTGCGCTTAAGCCTCTAACTGCATCAAAAAACGACTACGTGCCCCACAATCCAGAGCGCCCTATACATGAATCCATTCAGGTGTCCCAGCACGACTTCAGTAAACTACAAAGCCACACCACCCGCAGCGCACGCAAACACACACAGAGCAGACAGCGACCACATAGTGAAAAACACCCACAGACACACTCATCACTCCACGCGAAATAACGAACCGAAAAAGCGAGTGCAATGTGCCACTTCTAGCCACAACTGAACAACTGAGTCACTGTGAACACGCCGACAATCCAGTGTTCCCAGACAGCACCTCCCTACACGCCACAACTGAACAAAGCCCAGAGTCACCGTGAACGCCACAAACAAAGTAACACTGACCCATCCAACTGTGTTTCTTTTAAAGTCCGATGCAGTTTATTAAGTGAAAAAAGTTTGAAAATAAACCATTCTATGACAGTGCGTCTTATAATCCAGAGCGTCTAATAGCCCGGAAAATATGGGAATGATGGGACATAATCTGGTGAAAGTGGGTTATCATTCTTCATACCTATGAGAGAAAAATACGTTTGGTATATATCATTTCATTTACTGTAAATCCCTTCTTTGTTTTTGTGGAGTTGGTTCCTCACCAGAAATGAAATGTTGACTGCACAGGCGACTGTACTCAGTGGGCATCTCATCCCTCTCTTTTTATGTCGCTCTCCACTTCTGTCTGCGATCTTTATCAGCCGGGATCTGATAGAAAGATACTTTGGCCTCCTTCTTTAGCAGATTGACTCCGGGCAGAATATCCAATAGCAACGCAGGTCAAAACCATTGTTATTCAATTCAAATTTTATCCCACACAAATACTACACGTTGGTCCAGATGGATAGTTTGACCTCCAATATGGCGGCATAAACATCAAGTCATGTGGTTTTGTGACGTAGACGCAAAAACTTAATAGTATAAGGAGCAGACATTTAATTCTGTCACTATTTACTATTTACATACATTTGTGCATTGATTTAAAGATGCACTGCGTAACTTTTCTGGAGAGAGTCCTTAACCTGTTTGTCTCCATGGAGATCTTAATGCTGTGGTTTCAATTGTCCACAGTATGGCTTTAAAATAATCTGTCTTGTATTTATTCAACTACAGGAGACATTTCTTTTTAAAAATCCATTCTTTCTGAGTAGGGTCGCCTCTCCACAGATCTAACCTGCAATTTGGTTTACAAGTCTCCATGGAAGATCTTAAGTTTACAGCCATACTGTGGAACATTCTAGCCACATCTCCATGGAGACAAGCAGGTGACGCACAAGTTACACAGTGCACATTTAAAACACTGTATTATTGCTGAAAAATTGCAATTTTTTTAACTACACTACTCACTTCTTGTTACCAAAACTAACCCGGCAACAGGCTAAACCACATGAAAGGATATTAAAAGCAGTGTAAGTGATTATAAATAAAAAAAAATAATTGAAATAAATAAATAAGATAAAAGTAGTGTAGCTTGGAGAGTAAACGGATTACACAGAGGATTAACGGAGGATTACATGAAGCTAATGAGATGACACACACACACACACCCACATTGTCATCACTGAGCTCCATGCATTTATGTCGTGTATGTAACATAGGACATATACTATACTACACCATAATCTAACTCGAACCTCTCTATTTGGTTTAACTTGTATAAAAAAACAGCTTGATTTTTAGGCCACAAAAAATGTTTATATCATCTGGAAACTGGATTTAAATAACACATTTTCTGTGATCAATACAAGTGTTCATGGTCCGGAAAAAACAACTATTTTCTTAATTATTTGTCTCCAAAACCAAAATGAAAAAACTGGATAACGATTTGTTTTTTCAGTTTTCGATTTTTGTGAAAAAAAAAATCGGAAAACTGCTGTTTCCCATTTCTGTGACTTAAACTGTACCGCATACGGACTGAACCAGGACTAAAACAGGACTGAATGTTGAGATGGGCCCAGAGGTGCACCCGCGTAGACTGTCAGGTGATCAGGGACTGAGACCAGGACTGAACCAGGACTAAACCAGGACTAAACCGGTCTCAGTCCTGCTCTGGTCCCGGTCTGAGTCCTGGTTTCAGTCCCGGTCTGGATCTCAGTTCTGGTCTGGTCCTGATCTCAGTCCTGGTCTGGTGCTGGTCTGTTCCCGGTCTCAATCCCGGTTTCAGCCCTAGTCCTGGTCCCAGTCTGGTCCCGGTCTCAGTCCTGGTCTCAGTCCCAGTTTCAGTTCCAGCCTGGGCCCGGTCTGGTCCTGGTCTCAGTCCTGAACACCCGACAGTCTATGTGGGCGCACCTCCGGCCCCGTAAAGACACTTGTAATTGGATTTATTGTGATGGTCCACGATAATATTGTGAGACTTTTGGCGATACGATATCACAATATTTTGATTATTGTTACATACAAGTATTTAACGTTTTAAAATCACAACTAGTGTAACATTAGGCTCACTGAAAATGGCTTAACAACAATGAAATCTTAAGAGTGTAGTTTGTGTCAGATGTGCCAAAAAGCTAAAATACAAGCCCTAAAAACACCAAATTTTGGAGCCAGGTCACAGCCAGATCCATGTACTTTATTTTGTCTTGAGGAGGTAAATAAAGTAATCTTAATATAGACATTTTGTACAGGGAAAAGTGTGTTTGAGTATAGACATTAAACAGAAAATTAGTAAGGCATGATATGACTTTCATAGGGCTCACAATTAGATTTTTACCACACCACCCTAGTCTAAATACACGCTTTTAGTCGACTAATCAAGCCAAGATTTTCTAATAATGTGAAAAAATGTGCATGTCCACACCTCATTGAAGAGCAGCTCTCGTCTCTGCTGTTTCCTCAGGTCCATCTTCTTCACCGCCACCTGTTTTCCGCTGTGTTTCTCACTGGCGATGCACACGATCCCCGTGGAGCCCTCCCCGATCTTTATGAAGCTGTCCAGATACTCCCGGGGGTCACCTGGAGGTCAACGTACAAGATCTGAGCAACAGACTACAGCTGTGTGATCCAGTTTAAAGGCCCATATTACTTTATTTTATGATCTATGTTATAGGCTTGTTTTCTCATCACAAACAGACCTGGAGTTGTGTTTGTTTCATTCACACGTTTAACACACAAACTGGACTTATTTAACGCTGAGTTGTTCTCTCAAACATAAAACACTGAACTGAAGTTCTCCACCGTGTTTTTAAACTCCATACACCTTCAGTAGAACAATTTGGATGATTTCAGACCTGAAATTTTCCAATTCAGTAGGAATTTAGGAAGGTAAAAGGTAGCTGTGCACTTAAAAACTACCACTTCATGACATCATAAGGTGGAACAGAGCATTTGGAGCTTTTGAGCTGTAGACAGACTAATAAATAAATGTGTTTTTGAGGAGGTAACAGCATTCTAACATGTCTTAATGCTCACACAAATCTATTTTGTGTAATATAGGACTTTTACATATATGCACTGTTGGGGAGTAACAGATTACATGTACCAGAGTTACATAATCAGAGTACAAATTATAAGTAACTGTATTCAGTTACAGTTACTGTTTCAGTGAGTGGTAATTGGATTACAGTTACTTTGTCAAAATAAATGGATTACACTGAGGTATTTTCCTGTTTTCCTGTTTTCACATTTTGGGATATATCCCCTTTTTTTCTTTTTTTTTTCTCAGTAATTCCACTCATTGCCGGAAACTAAACCAGGTCTAAACCAGGACTAAAACCAGGACTAAACTAGATCTAAACCAGGTCTAGACCAGGAAAACTAAAACCAGGTCTAAACTACATCTAAACTAGATGTAAACCAGGTCTAAACCAGGTCTAAACCAGGACTAAAACCAGGTCTAAACTAGATCTAAACTAGACTAAACCAGGACTAAACCAGGAAAACCAGGACTAAACCCAGGACTAAACAGGACTAAACCAGGACTAAAACCAGGTCTAAACTAGATCTAAACTAGACTAAACCAGGTCTAAACCAGGTCTAAACCAGGACTAAAACCAGGTCTAAACAGATCTAAAACTAGACCTAAACCAGGACTAAAACCAGGACTAAAACCAAGTCTAAACTAGATTTAAACTAGACCTAAACCAGGTTTAAACCAGGCCTAAAACAGGACTAAACCAGGTCTAAAACCAGGACTAAACCAGGTCTAAAACAGGATTTAACAGGACTAAACCATGCTGGGTCGGACGTGTCTCCTCCTCTTCTATCAATAATATTTTTAATACAGTTAAGTAAAGTCTGGGCTTTTTATTTTCTTTTAGCAGATAAAACATCTTATGTGAAGATTTCCTCGTCTTTGCTTCTCTACAGCAAATCAAGTAATCCAAAGTATTCAGATTACGTTACTCACTTTAAGTAATTTAATGGATTATGTTACAAGATACATTTTGGTGTATGTAATCTGTAATCTGCAGGGGAATACATTTTAACAGTAACCTTCCCAACACTGCATATATGAGCATTTCAGATAAAGTCATCAACATATGGCGTCTGTGTTATTGCATGCTGGAGAAACCTCTGTACCTTTTCTGTGTTCTGCCAACCTCTCACCTGCTTGAGATGGTATTGCTTTGTTGGAAATGTTCCACAAAATGGCACAGAATGTATTTAACCCATGATTCCTTATTGTTTAATGCTTACTTATCTTGCATTTATTCAATTACAGGTGTATTTATTGCGTGATCACCACTGCACAGTAGCACAGCTTCATGGAAATAGATACGTTTATTGCCATACTATGGAACATTCTTGGCAAAACAATAACATCACCAAGATGAACAGTTACACTTTTAATTTCTATGGTAACAGAGTCTCTCCTGACCTGGGTTGACGACAAGCTGCAGTGCGGCTCTGAACTGTTCGTGGGAGACTCTGGAGGGCTGAGTGTCTGAGCTGGAGCCCCACGACGGAGGAGGGTACGCCCCGGGGGGATGTAGGGCGACGAGGGCTGGGAGTACGCACCCTGAAAAACAAAACAGAACAGAACAGGACAGGAAAGTTAAAGGTACTGTATATTAAAGATATTATGCTTTTTTCTGGTCTATGTTATAATGTTGTTTCTTCATCAAATCATACCTGGAGTTGTGTTTTTGTTTCATTCACACAAACACACAAACCCCGTTGTTATACAGGAGGTGCTCCATTGTGTTTTTAAACTCCATACACCTTAACTAGAAATGGCTGGATAATTTCAGCCCTGGAATTGCCAGTCCCTACTCAACAAAAGCTTGTAACATTTAAACATGGCTTAAATCTCATATCTAAATAAATAGTTTAAAAGCACCCCGGCAATAGTTTACATTTAGACATTAACTACTGTATCAATTAATGCAAGGAACGTCTGTCTGTGTCTCTTCCTGTTGGCTTATTTGTATGTCTTAAATGGATCAAATTTGGAGGGTGTCGTACTAATTGTACAAGTGTGTGCAGTGTCAAGTTTCATGTTGTTAGGGCAAAAAATGGCAAGGCTACATGACCACAAAACAGGTTTAGTAGAGTCAAGGCCCGTCATTGTCGCTTGCGGTTTTAACTTGCTCTAATGATGACAGATGCAAATTGCTGGAGTTGACCTCTTTCAGTGTTCTGTAGTAGTTTGGTAAAGCATTTAATCCATTTTACACTTTTTAGCACTTGTAAAATTTGAATATCTCTAAAAATTGTTGTCAGTAATAGTTTCTGATTCCAGTTTGGAGTTTTGTCTCAGTCTGGTGCAGTTACCTGTGGCGTGTACGGAGGGCTGGGCTGGGAGGGCGGGTGGTGGTAGGGCGAGGGCTTGTAGTGGTGGAACACGGGCGGGTACGGCAGGTGCGGCGGCAGGTGCGCTGGGGGGTACCCTGGCGGTTTGGGGTGGCTCTGAGGTAGTTTGAGAGGCCCACGGGGGTAAGTGTCTCCACTGAGCACCTGAGGGCTGGTGTCCCGAGACTGACGCTCGTAATCGCTCTGTGGAGAAGAACAGACACAGGTGAGATTATGAGGGAAAGAAGGGCTGTCAGAAGTATCGAAAATCAGATACTAAACAATATTTTGAGTAAGTATAAGAGCACATAGACTAGTATACACCCATGGACCACTAAAATCTGGTATATATAAAACACCACATGGGAATATAGACGTCGAATATAGATGCTGAAAATCACATTCTATTGTCTAAAGAAAGTGCGTTCTTTATTATCATTGTGGTAGTGGTATTGTGTATTGAGTACATTCTTTAGTACTGAATTAGAGTCTGAAATTTCAGTATCGTGACAACACTAGAGGAAAAAAAACTCAGCAAAGATTGTATTTGCTTCCTGGAAAATACACATATATTTTGTCATTGCTGTCAGCCAATGACAGCTCTCTATGGGTCCAGAATGAGTTGGGAGTTGGGAGCGATGCCAAAGCGATTAACAATTTAAAACAAAAATAATATGGAGAAAAAAGTGTTCAAAATGGCACCATATAACAGAAAGCTGAAAACCACAAACACCTCTCAACCAATCACCACTCATACAATAAAAACACTCTCTCTCATTAAAGGTCTTTAGTTTAGTCCATGGTTAAGTCCTAGCTCAATCCTGGTTTAATCCTGATTTAGTCCTAGTTTAGTCCATGGTTTAGTCCTGGTTTAGTCTTGGTTTAAGGCCGCCACAGACTACCGATTTATAGTTAAGGCGGCCACCTTGACAACAAGTGACCCCCGCCTTCACTACGTCCCTCCAAACCCCAATCCTCATAAAACTACGGTCACTTTTTCTCTGTGCACAGAATCGCTTTGCCTAACTAATTTTCTGCAGGAAACACTGAACATGCGACAAAAAGCGCACATGAGGATAATCTTATGAGACTTAAAATCTCCAATCACAAAGACTGCAGGGGAATATGTCTGTGGACCACAGGATATAAAGTTGTGAGCACAATTGCATCAGCTGTTTCCTGTCTACAGAAAAACCACCCGTGCTGAGACTCTTAAGTGTACAAAAGAGCAGAAATGTGGTGCAATACTTCACATACATGAATTTGAAAGCATAAAAGATTGGAGATAAAGTCCACAGGAAGTAGAGTCACTATCTCTAATGTGCACTTTCACCTCAATCTGTACGCTGTGTGGATGCAAACAGACACACGTGAGGAACTACTCCGGCCTTTTTACTTTCAAAGAATGATTCAAACTGAATTCACAGCGATGTTTTTGTAGAATGCGTGCCATTGTTTGCAGAGAACAAATTCTGTGGATAATGTGGCTGAGATGCTGCAGTTTAAATGTACAGCTTTACAAAAGGTGAGGAATAAAGTCTTCTCATTATTATCACTATATACCACTCCAACTGTCCTTGTTTTATTGGCTGTTTCCGTAGCGTTGTTGATATTTGATGGTTACGATATGGAGGAGCAGCTCAGAGTCACAAGAGCAGCAGCTTCAAAATCACACACAAACACACAAAGTCAGGTCACTCCTCCTCGAACTCGGAGAGAAGCAAAACGCACTCAAAATCGGGCAAATTCTCTTGTAGTGTGTGGTGGCCTTAAATTCTGGTTTAGTTCTGGTTTAGTCCTGGTTTAGTCCATGATTTTGTCCATGGTTTTGTCCATGGTTTAGTCCTGGTTTAGTCCATGATTTTGTCCATGATTTTGTCCATGGTTTTGTCCATGGTGTAGTCCTGGTTTAGTCCTAGTTTAGTCCACGGTTTTGTCCATGTTGTAGTCCTGGTTTAGTCCTAGTTTAGTCCTAGTTTAGTCCACGGTTTTGTCCACGGTGTAGTCCTGGTTTAGTCCTAATTTAGTCTTGGTTTAGTCCATGGTTTTGAGCATGTTGTAGTCCTGGTTTAGTCCTGGTTTAGTCCATGATTTTGTCCATGGTTTTGTCCATGGTTTAGTCCTGGTTTAGTCCATGATTTTGTCCATGGTGTAGTCCTGGTTTAGTCCTAGTTTAGTCCACGGTTTTGTCCATGTTGTAGTCCTGGTTTAGTCCTAATTTAGTCTTGGTTTAGTCCATGGTTTTGAGCATGTTGTAGTCCTGGTTTAGTCCTGGTTTAGTCCTAGTTTAGTCTTGGTTTAGTCCATGTTGTAGTCCTGGTTTAGTCCTAGTTTAGTCCTGGTTTCGTCTTGGTTGAGCCTTTGTTTTGTCCTGAAATCAGTGGGTATCTGCCAGTGTGTCTTGGGGTCGTCTCTAAACCCACAATTACCTCCAGTCCAACACATAACTTGTAATATTAGATGAAGGACACTGTTAGACACTTGTCCCGCTGTTGTAGAAGCCCTCCGTGGTACAGTGAGCGTGTAGATTAGCTCTAACCACGTCTAATTCTGGTTTAATTCAGCACACTGAGTTGACAGGACAGGCCTCATGCTTTATCATTACCGCCCCAACACCGCCTCGTTTATCAGGGAAGAGCATCTGGAACCGGGACACTCCTCCTGAGGAAGACCCCCCGAACTCCCCCAGGACTCCTCCGAAGTCTGTACTCGTGAATGGAGGAGGGAGGGGGGGAGAGGGGGGGAGACGAGGACCCCCCTACCCACCCCTCCTGTCTCTTCTCTTCTCTGGTCTATTTTCAGCTCGGTGGGATGAGTCAGATCAGATGGCTGACTCAGACTGGATTACTCACTATACTATCCACTCACGACTCAATATTACACTGCAAACACATGAACATTTAAAGTGCGTAATCTTGGAAAATCTGACTTTGAATTTCAACAAGTTTACATTTAGTTTTTTGAGTTTTAGGGCAGTGCAGTAGCCTATTAGATAATTTGGTATGTTTGCTATAAATGTATATAATCTACTGAAACCAATCTCTTGCTGTTTTTTATTGCTACTTATTTAGAAGTTTATTACCATTTTTTACTCTGTGTTATTGTAATATAATGTGATGTGTGAGCTACTGTGTCCAAGTCATTTCCGTTGAGGATCAATAGACATTTTTCACAATGACCAGAAGTGCCGTGATGTAATGTGATGTAAATGTCACTTCCGGTTAATGCTTTTCACAAAAATATCTCTGGAAATGTCTAGCATAATCTCCACCAACTTCATAAATCTGCCCCATCACCAAATCTTCATCCATCAAGGTCCACAAAGGATATATTTTGTCCAAGTAGGTATCCACAACTATCAAGTGAAGAAAGATGAAAAAGGCGAACGACAACTGGCATTAGTGAACTTCTGAACAAATCTAATGTTATGGTCCTGAGTAAAACATAAGTAACTTGTTCACTCAGACTGATTCTAGAATTAAAATTAAAAATCGATTTCATGATGTAGATATTTAGCCTGATTCATCAGCCAGTTTCATTTCGTAGAAACCGTCTGACCTTGCAGCATTAGGATTTGTTCGCTCCACTGATTGGTTGGTGCCTGAACTTGCACTTCTGGGCTTCTTGCAAACCATCTGGTGTATTCTGATTCCTGACGTAGTCGCTGGAGAGAAATGAAATTGAACTGAGGCACTAGGTGGCGTTCAGGGGCAGTACGCCGTCAAACATGCAGAAAAAATACTCCGCCACATAGCACATTTATCTGTCTGTAAATTTGATTAAATGGGCAGAATATAGAGAGTGTAAGCTTTATAATGAGGTATAACATGCCCACGTGGACAATTGGCCTATATTGGCAAGATTTAGGCCGATAGCCGATATGTCTCCAAGTGCCCATATCGGTTGATAATATTGGCCAACTGATATATCAGTCAGGCCCTAGTATTTACATGCAAAAAAAATAAATAAATAAAACACATGATTCACAAGTTTAATGAGTCTTTAATGCAATGTTTTCTAGTACATTTTCTGCATAGATAGTCGTTTTTGCATTACTCCCCCTACATATTTAGGCCTCATCCACACTAGTACATATTCGAGTCTTTTTCATTGCAGATGCAGTGTTCGTCCACACTAATCCAAATGAAAACAGCTCCAGAGATGGAACGATCTGGTGCCGTCAGCTCCCACAAATTCATCTGAGTACAGCTCTGATCCTGCACTGTGTGGACTCCTGAAAACACTGATACACTGATGTAGGTCTATGCACCGCAAAGTAATTCACCACCAAAACACTAAGAGGCTAGAATGTATGTCAATTCATATATACGGTCTGTGTGTATGACCTGCTGATGTATAATCTCTGAAAAGTTTAACGTGAACCATCTCCAACGTGACAGAAGCACAGAACAGACTCACCATCATCAGCAGAACATCCCTCTATCACAGAAAGAACACCGATATTCCACTGAGTCATGTCCTAATCCGACAGAAGCTGAGCCGCATCAGCGCACAATAGCGAACAGTTTTTTGAGTGTTCAGTTTATGCAAATTAGCCATGCAGTTTTAAGTTTTATTTCTGTAAAATGTAAACAAATATGCGCAAAGATGTGTGGACAGGGAAGACTTGCGGACACAGAAACGACATGTCTGGACACAGATACGATCCGATACAATGATAGAGTGATACAGTGATTTGTTTCAGTGTAAATGTAACCTTAGTCCCGTGAGTGCAGTTTGGGTCACATAGGCTGCGTTCAGACTGCAGCCTGAAGTGACCCAAATCAGATATTTTGGCCCCTATGTGACCTTTATCCAATCTTTTAATGACAGTCTGAACGACACAGATCCGATTTTTTCAAATGCGACCCAGGCCACTTGGATATGTGCTCCTGAAACCGATACATTTCAGATTTTTTGACATGCGACTTCAGTCTGAACGGTCAAAGCGCATTCATTCAACCTACACGTTATCAACAAGCCACAAATGTCACTATTCTGCGTTGAAGTAGTGCATCAAACACTGTTACCATCACGACAAAAACCTCGTCCTCTCCTCCTTAAAACAAGTAAGTTGTTCATGTTCTGGCTCCAGTACGAGAGGAACTTTAAAATCTCCAGTTGATCAATGCTGCGTCCATGTTTGGACAACTTCCGTAAACACAGAGCACGCTCACTGCGGTTGACGTCATCGTGTCTCCGGT